ATATATATATATATATATATATATATATATATATCTACCTAACCTTATTGTGAATTGTTTTACCTCTGTCTTTGCAGAAAGACTGATGACTCAACAAAAATGAGTGGATCAGGATTCTACTAGGATTCTACATAAGGAAAATAGTTAATCGCATAAATCCTCAAAGACAAGAACCGAATAAAGTCAACAGCTACATCTTGCAGTGGCTCACCTTAAAGAAAGCCACCATCCGCGCTTGCAAGTCCCCCAAACTCTCAGCCCCCGGAGGGAGGTGGTGTGGCCATGAAAAGCCTTCTGCTGCGGCACGGGCTTTTACTTCCTCTATGTGAAGACCCTCGACACTCCCAAAGTTCTGTCGGAAAGAGGATGAATGATAATCTAAACTTAAATATGGTCATTCCGTATATTCCTGGGAATGTCTTGGTTTAATGTGTGAGAGAATTATTTTCTCTCTCTTTCTTTCTTTCTCCTTTAAATCGAGTTGAATCTTTTATTTTTCTGTTCTTTTGTTATCATGCAATTTCCTTTGGTTTTGTATAAATGTTTTGTATATCTTCATACATCTGCTTGGCATAAAGATTTTGAAGTTGGATTAAAGTTGAATATTCAGGCATTGACATATATTTGCCCTTATAATCTAAACTTATTTTCAATTAGTTACTATGAAAGCTATGCAAAATATACAAATCTGTCAATACAATTTTTCTATCCATAAATATGCATATTGGAAACTAGTTTATACTGTTCATGTGGGTTTCATGTGAAAACTTTATTGTGAAAAACACAGTCATTCCTTTTCTGTGAGCAAAAACATCTAATACTGGAATGTGGTATATCTAATATAGACCAATAAAATAAAATAAAAAATATGTAAATAAATGGGAAGGCTGGCTTTCCATTGGAAAAATAGGTATCATGGAAACAGACATGTCTAAAATAACTCTTATTCTTTATTTCAGTTCTTAAGCTGCAACACAAATATATGAAACACCTACAATAAGGAAAAAGGAAAGGAAAAATAGAAAAAAAGAAAATTATACAAGCCTTAAGGGAAAACTGGACACTTTCTTCCCCAAAATTAAAGGAAATTCCAAAATCTTAGAAAAAACAATGAGACTATTGAAGAACTAGTTGAGAGTACAAAACTTGAGAAATATTAATAACAGCCTATGTTATAAATAACAAAAAAACTAGCTAACCATAGTGATAAAGTATATATCAGGATAATAAAAAATATATAAAACAAACCATGTAACTACACTCACTCTTTCCCGCAACTTAGTGTCAATCTTTATAGGAGGAATCAGGGCTCCATTCTCCTTCAAGATGAGCTCGCATGTTGTGAACGCCCTGCAGAGATCACTGGAATAGGCTCTTGTGAAGACAGATTTACACAACCTCTTTCCAGCCTATAAGAATTCAAAAGTACATTAACTCTAATTAACTATCGAGAAGAGATATATGTGTGCATTTATGTCTAAATAGCCCAGTAAGTTCTCTAAACACATTAAAGGGATATAATAATCCCAACTTCAAATGCATTTTCCAGAGGAGCAGTTTTACAACCATTTAAAATGAAATAATTTGTTATATACATAAAAATTAATATATACATATATACACAAATATAACTATATATATTTACATACATATACATATATAAATATATATATATTATATATATAATATATATTATATATATAATAATATATATTTAATATAATAATATATAATATATATATATATATATACATAATATATATAAAATATATATATAATAAATATATATATAATATATATTATATATATATATTATATATATATATATATATACAAATATATATATATATATATTATATATATATATATATATATATATATATATGTATATATATATGTATTATAATATATATATA